TGTAATCTTGACGAATAGGTAAAAAAAAGAAACTAAAACTAGATTCAGGAAGAAAAGGAAAAGAAGATCACTTTTACTGTTACCTCGTACTAAAATGCTATATATAAGAAAAATATAAAAACAAGTTGATAGAGACCCCATTTCTATCACTTTTCCTATCTCTATAAATGTAACTAACTAAATACAAACGTACACACACACACACACATATATATATATATATATATATATATACGGAAGAGTAAGAAAAATGTGAGGAATAAATAGAGAAAAATAAGAAAAAGAAAAAGAAAAGGAAGGAGAGCAAAGTAAAATAACAGAAAGATAATGTATCGAAGTGGAAGAGAAAACGAGGAGAAGGAGGAGGAGGAGGAGGAGGAGGGGTGGATGGGTGAGTGAAAGGGGGATGAAAAAAAAGTTTTAGCGATTCGACGTGCTCGATAGTAGTACAGTCATCTGTTACAGAAAGTTGTCGTTGTCGTTGTCGTTGTCATCGTCGTCGTAGTCGTTGGGATAGGTCGAGTAGTATACTGAAAGAGTAAGAGAGAGAAAGAGGGTGAAGAGGAGGGTGGGAGGGTAAGAGGTGAAGGCTTGTGAAGAGGTGAGGGCGAGGGGGAGGTACGCTCGGCCACGAATGGCCGAGGAATTGGATCGTCCGGTCTACCGGGTGTCCCTTATTTTTCCCTTCTTCTAATTTTATAACTAATTCTAAATTTCTAATTATAATTATAATTTTATTTCATACTTATTTGGATTTTGTCAGAAAAGATTTTCTCGACATTTTTTTCCTTTCGAATTCAATCAAGTTTACATATTACAAATTACAATATTGCACATTATCCCGAATGATTTTTTAATTTATTTTTTGTTCAGATTATTTCAGTTTCTTAATCATCGTCTTTAACATGTATGTATTCATTTTATATATCGTACAATATTTTTTTTTAATTTTTTATTTTTTATTTTAATTACATTATATATATATATATATATGTATATGTAAAATAACGAAATATTATTATGCATATTAAAAATTGATAAAAATAAAAGAAAAAAAGGAAGAAACATTAATACAATTTCCTCTTTCTCTATATCACTAACCGTATATATGCATATATGCAGTTGTTTGTTTTCTTGATATCGGGGTAATAAGAAGAAAGAAAGAAAGAAAGAAAATAAAAAGGGTAGGAAAAATATAGTAGTTGTCAAGCAGAGAGAGAAAATGAAAATTTCTAGCACGACGTATGATAAACGTTAGATTCCGTTATTCGAAATAGAGTAAGAGAGAGAAAGAGAAAAAGAGAAAGAGAACATTTCCATCTTCACGTGTATATTTTGCGTATACACGTATTTATATACACGCGTATATGTATCCTTTGTGTAAATAGATTTATATATAAATATATATATATTACACCCGTATAATACATATGCGTGTATTTGCATGAGTAAATTGTATTATTCGTTGTTAGGTTCGCTAAGAATTCCTACCAAGAGATTTTCTGTTTAAAGCGTGAAGGATTTAACTCGTTCGTTCATTTTCATTTGAACATCGTTATCTTCGTCGTTGTCATCGTCGTCGTTGTCATCGTCGTCGGTGTTGTCGTCGTCGTCGTCGTCGTCGTCGTAGTGACGTGTTTCAAGAATCGTCGCGACGACGTAAAAGCAAAAGTATGTCACGTTGCGTCAGGTCAGGAAGATATCTCTCTGGTTGAGACCAGACCTCTCTCCTATATATGTACTACGAAACTAAAAAGAAGAATCAGAAGAAGAAGAAGAAGAAGAAGAAGAAGAGGAAAAAGAAGAAGAAGAAGAAGAAGAAGAAGAAGAAGAAGAAGAGGAAAAAGAAGAAGAAGAAGAAGAAGAAGAAGAAGAAGAAGAAGAGGAGGAGGATAGAGGGTGGAGGGAAGTAGAAGGGGGAGGTGGAGGATGAGGTAGTGGTATAGGTAAAGGGGTGGTATCCAAGGGAGCAGGGGGTATGAGGAAGAGGGGGAGGAATTGCGCTTACTCGGCTCGAGTTTCGCTCTGAAGATTATCAGGAATTCAAAGAATGGAAACATTCTCTCCGTTAAATTAAGTTTCGTAGATCCCATCGATCGATCGATCGATCAATCAATCAATCGATCGAATTTATCTCACTTTTCATTTTTATTCGTTTCATCTAATCTCTCAATCAGGTTCTTTACATGCATCACGAATAGATTTAAGTATGAACTTGAATATATATTATAAACACTTGTGATTGTAAGTAAATATGTTTTATAAGAAAATGAGATTTAACGAAAAGGAAAGGAAGGAAGAAAGAGAAAAGAAAAAAAAACGTGACATGCAATGTCGTAAAGATGATGTAACTAATCGTAAATGAAAAAAAAAAAACATTTCGTCGTCGAATTTGGCTCTTTGAAAAAGTCGAAGTTGTGTGTGTGTGTGTGTGTCTGTATTTTTTTTTTCTTTTGGAAGAATTTTTGTTTTGTTTCGTCGAAGTGTTTAAAAGTTTGAATTAACGATTCGATTATAATGGCGCGTGGCACAAAATTTTCGGTCTAGAAGAAGACGAGCAGTGCGAGGCGTGGAGGAGGCTTCGGGTTCGGAGTCCGAGGTCGACGCCCGGGCGCAACAAGTGCTGCACTACGTTAGTATATATATATATATATATACATATACATATATATACATATATACTTGTTCGAGTCGGAGAGGCACCCCACCTCGTTTGCAACTCGCACACTTGCAAAAGCTCCCTTTCCCTCCCCCCACCCTTCTCCCTCTCTTTCTTTCTCTCACCCCTTTTGTGAGAGAAACCGACTTCTCGTTCTCTCTTACTCGCTCACTCGCTTAATCATTCTTTCACTGACTCACTCACTCACTCACTCACTCACTCACATACTCTCTTGTACTATCTCACTCTAGTATTCTCTTTTTCTCTATTATTTACTCCCTTAGTCCCTGTTTTTCTCTCTTTCTCTAACTCTTTCTGTTCTTCCCTCGTGTTCACCCATCTCTGTTGCTTACTTGCACTCGAGAGAACATCGTAGTGTATATGTATGTGTGTGTGAGTTAGAGAGAGAAAGAGATAAGAGGAGTGGAGTGTCAGCGACGTGCGCGTGCCTCCACCACCACCACCACCACCACCACCACCACCACCACCACTATCTCACCACCATTACTACTTACACACCACCGTCCTCCGTAAATATAAAACTGCACTGGGTCAGGGATCCGTGATTTATCGGCTGCCTCGTGTAATTGGCTGCCGGCCAATAGATATATACCCCCGTGGTTAGAAGAGTAAGACGAAAAGGGGAGGACGAAGAGGGATGAAGAGAACGGGAATAGAGAATGGGAGAGAGAGAGGGGGAGGGATAGAGGGAGAATAAAGCGTTTAGACGTATTTTCTTGCTGTTTCATTCGACTATATCCCCGTATAATAAACGTCTCATCGAACTTCTTCTTTTCTATTCTTCGAATCTTTTCATTTTTTCTTATTCCATTTCGAATCAATCAATCAACTTTTAACGATGCAATTTTTTCTTTTTTTTTTTTTTTAAGCGGTAGTTTTTTGAAAAGAGAAAATAAATAACAACGACAAGTAACTAATTTCGAAGGAAAAGTTTTTCTATTACATCAACATATGTGTCATTTGTAATAATGAAACTATTATAATAACTTATTTAAATGTTCGTGAGATTTAAACGAATAATAAATAAAATATATATATATATATATATATATATATTGTAATAATCGATATAGTAATCGATAGAAATGATCCTAAATAAACAAAAACATTCCCTTAAGCTTTTCTCGAGTATATTTCTGCATTAAGATTTATTATACTTATCTTCTTGGTTCATGTGCTTTTTACTCGATATCTTTCTTCAGAGTTGCGATCTACTTCGTGAAAGAGTGCGTGAGTTAAAGATACAAGTGGGGGGGGGGAATAAAAAGGATAGAGAAGATGCAGTTTTATTATTATTATTATTATTTTTTTTTTCTTTTCTTTTTCTTAAAAGAGAAACAATGAAAAAGCCGTGACTTCTAACGAGTTGACGCACTTTCGCGGAGGTCAAATTCCATGCAACTACTGTAATGATATATACGCGGAGATCGTCAAGGCAGACTGTTCAGAACCTTCGACAGTGTATTATATTTGTGTGTGTGTGTGTGTTAGTATCGTAAATAATGTGTGCCACGCTATCGTTTTAATCATGGTGAAAATAGTATTCAAATACGTAATATAAGAAAGTAGTTTGATTATTTGAAAATAATATTTTTTTGTCATTACCCTATCAAAAATAATTTAAAATTCGTACATTTTGGGGGAGAGGGGAACTGGTGGAATTTAGATTTCAAAAAATTCTCAAATTATATTTCATATATCATATCATTGATAATCTTTTAGCGATACTTCTCTTTTAATCATTGATTAATAATTTTCTTATTTCAATTAAATTCGATCTTCGCGATGTTATTAGTCCAATTGATTTTCTTACACGTGTATGAATTTTATATGAAAATATAGAAAAAGATGGGAAAATGAATTCGATCGCATCGGCAATTATTAAATGGCGTTTAAAACAGAGAATGTCCATGGCGTACCTATCATCAATGTGTGTTCGATTTAAAAACTTGGCGAGCACGTGCCGCGTTGAAATTCGATATCGCCTTCCGAGTTTGTCATGAATGAAGCTACCGAGAATGTGAGAGAGAAAGACAGACAGAGAATAAGTGAAAGAAAGAGAGGAGGATAGATGGATAAATGGAGAGAGAGATAGAAAGAGAATGAGTTGGCGCCATCTGTCGTGATTTCGTGAATTATTCGTACTATCGATATTGAAGGCAACTTTCATTATCATCATCGTGTAATTCATTGGTAATAATCACGTATAGAAAGAGAGGGAAAGAAAAGAGATAGAAAAATGTTTGTCGGGTTAGGTTAGATTGATAGAGGAATGACAGAAAATGACATGACACGAGAATAATACAGATGAGAAACTAACCTTGGTTAGAGATTAATCGTTGCTTGTTATATTCCTTTGCTTTGGCGACATCATCACTTCCTGTCTGAAACGTTAACAATAAAAACCAAGAAAGGAAAAGGTGGGAGAATAATCTTCTCGCAAATATTCCATTTCGTCATAAACGACGACGACGACGATGATGACGACTAAATAATACTCGGAACGTACTTGGGATTTTTTGACACGATTCAAATTCTTCATACGACTTTCGTACATTGACACATTATCGTAAAGAGGCGCGGACGTAGAAGGTAAACGTATTTTCTTCGAATAAATAGCTTTAATGGGATCAAATTTGTCGCTAGTAATATCGATACTTTCGTCGGACGTCGTGCTGCTATCGTCGTCCGCCATCTTGCCAACTACTCTTGTATCGTCTGCTAGAATTATTACCGTTGGTTCCTACGAGTCAATGTTATGGCGCGAAATACGAATTTTGTCCTGTTCATTCAAACTATTATATTAATATATTTCCTGTCGTATTCAAAGTACGCATGCATATAACGTTTGATAGTATCAACGTATACGTGCATCTCGTAATAATTAATCGCGTGAGAAAAATGAGAATATTGACCGGATTAATACGGAAGTATGAAAAAAAATCTAGAAAAAAAGAAAAAAACTATCTAAACTATATCCATTCGGAAATGATCCGCGAATCTTAATAACCTTTCTCTTCCTTTCTCTCTCTCTCTCTCTTCTCATCATCCATTGTTTTCGGTAGAATGCGTTCGAGTCGATTTCGCCGGATGACGATGAGTAAATAAATAAAGTAATATATAAGCATATATACACACACTGTGGGATCAAACACTTCCATTCGAATTTGACCGGAGGCTTCTGGATAGCTCAAAGGTTAATTCAAACGCTGGGAAAGTGGAAGACCCTGGTTGGTTCTCTAGTCAATCTAACGGTTTCAATTTTTTCAACGTATCCTACAATACAACATATACTATTAAATTATGTATTTCTTGTCACGTCCGATAAAAGAAACGGATAGGATTTATAAAACGGTGGGCAATGGGGAAAGGGGTATAGACTAAGGGAACGGCAAACTCGATAGGTGAGTGGGGGTGGGTGGGGAAATTGTAAAGGAGAGGCGGGAAAAGGATGTTAACCTCATCGCAGAACGCGACTAGAAACTTTCTTTCGCGGGTAGGCTAGGAAAGAATTACGTAAAACCATGAACGTTCGTCCCGCACCGTCTTAGTTGAAGCTCCATAGAAATGCGTCGAGGGAGAGGCAAGTGAGTAGTAGTAAGTAAATAGCCAAGCAACCAGCCAGCCCCAGGAGGAGTGGAGGTTACGCGCGCACAGGAAGTGAAACAACAACCTGCGAGAGACAGAAAGAAAGTTTTCACTCGGATAATGTGTTTTCACTTTCATGGAAATGCCAGAGAACTCTAACTTGCGCGAGAGTTACCTCTTCCCCCTTTCCCCTTTATAAAATTCTCAACCCCCCACCCCACCTTAGCCCTGCCCCCTCCCCCTCCCGCCCCTTACCGCTGCATCTTTAACTTCACTATTCTTGTATCGTCGCTGTTGAGTCGTACGTGAGATTTCAATTGGAAGAAGTTCAACCAATGATCGTCAACTTTCATTAAAAGCCGCCGATTCGAAGATAGTCTTCCTGAAAGATTTTTCAAACTTAATTGAATTAAATTGTTGTTTATTGGAATAATTATGTATAATGTGCATACATTCGTAGATTTATATCTTGGTAACATCGTCATGTGTTCGGTGAACGACTCCGAGAATCTATGATTCCATGCGAAACGAAACTTCTATGAGTCGAGAGAAAGTATTTAGTTGCTTAGCTACTTAGTTGCTGGCTTGCTTGCTTGCTTACTTGCTTAGTTATTTACTTATTTACTCGTTCTCGTAATTACACGTAGAGACCGACGATAAGACTGTTCCCTTAATTGGTATCGCACAATCAATGCTTCTCTCAAAACTTTCTTCTTTCATCAAGTCGTTCCTCGTGCCTTCGGGGTACACAGTTTTAGATTGGATTATCAAAGAGAAAGTAGATCGATTTGTTGATTCTTTTTCATTTTATTTAATTTAATCTTACGAGTTTGATCTTAGCTCTTCTTGTTTTATTTTATATTCGATGTGAGAAATATTTCTATGGGAGTTTTAAAAATTTATATTCAGGATATAAATATATATATATATATATATATATATATATATGCTTTTACACATTATCATTTATATCTTTCGCGTTATTTATGTAGAATTTAATTTGAACATTATAATTAAGATAGAGAATTGTTGGATTTACAGGTGAAGTAATACGAGTAGAAAGGAATATTTGCCGTTCCTACGGAGTGGCAAAAGGAAGAAAAAGGGACGAAGAAAGGTGGGCGACGTATCGAGGGTGGTTTTGGATGATAGAAGGCGCGGGGGTGGCTAAAGAGGCCCCGCCGCAGCGTACGGGTCCCGATGCCGGTCCCCGTATCGCAAACCCTCACGCTAACCTCCACCCTAGTACCCAAGGAGGAGTCAAACATGCCCTTCATAGACGACGAATTACTTTGGTGCCCTGATAATGATGGAAAGATGGTCGATTTAACTCAATGCCTTCAGGTAAAATTATTTTATTTATTTTCTAATTAATTCTAATTAATAATACACCGTCATTAATTTATTTGTTTATTTAATTTCTTCGTTCGGATAACCAAGTGTCTTAAATATCAATATTAAAGTGAATGTATTTGTTAAATATAATTAATTGTTTTGAATTTTTCCACGTAAAATATTTGAAAGTAAATATAGTTGATAAATCAGCCACAGAGAGCAGCACCTAACGAATAGTATTTTGTTACTAGGAGAGTAGTACTGGTCAGTCGGTTGAGTTTTCTGCAATGGAATTAAGCGCGCTTGTTGGAACACCTGCTGCACCTAATGTACCAACGGAAGAAGGTGAAGGTATGTCCAATGTAACTGGGGAAGAACCCTTCGATACCTTAGACACTTTTCTTCGAGAACTTCAAGCGGATTTGGCCGAGGCCAGTCAACCAAGTTCTACCACGACACCTCTTACGAATTCCTGCAGGCGGCAAAGGTACAACATCGCAGCAGCGAATCCTTTATTAGCGGGTAAGTAAATTTATTTCAAATTTTCGTTTATAAGATGTATTTTAAAAATCATTTTATACGACGATTTTAATATAACTTGTCTTTTTGTCGTTTAGAAAAATTGGCCGCACCATCTTCCCAAGCATCTCCAACCACAATCCCGTATGCAACGAGGGCGGAGATTAAAACGGAAAATATTCAACACGAGACGAGCAAAGGTAGGAAAATAATCTAATTCATTTCATTCTTTTAGATTTCTCTAATGAATCGATGATCTATTACAGTTGCGCATTATCTTCATTTAATATGTCATTTAATTTCATAATTTTCGCGCCAATATTACAAACGCCATTTAATCCTGATGATAATGTCGGTATTCTATCGTCGGTAATACAGTAACGTCGGTAAAACAGTAACGTCGATAACATTGTATCTTCTCGTGGTAATATCGACGAATGATAAAACAGATTTACCATAGGAGAAAAACACACACTTTCGATAAACAACTGTAATTAATCAGTTACCGACTGACATGTCGTAAAACAAGTAGAAATGAAGTAATCTCGTTTGAAGAGAGTTGTGTTAACGCAATGTACTCTGTAATACTTACTCGTAGGCATACTCTTACACACACACAAACAAACACAGAAACGAAGATGTAGAATTCAAGACTCGTCGACCCTCCGCGTTCCGAAAGGGAAACCGGCCAAGGCCCCGTGAATCGCGAGCAGACATCCGCGTTAGCAATAATTGCGACTCGTCGTCATTCGTGTTGTAAAAAAAGAAGCGCTTGTGAGAGTAGTACGCGGGTGCGCGCGCGCGCACGCTCGCGCAAGCTTACGCATTTATTCCTCACATGGGCGCAATACGAGAACACGGTCGAACGTGTGCTGGCCCAATTCTTCTAATTTACAGCCGTGTCGTAACGTCGTACGTTTCGTACACACACACACTCACACACACACACACTCGGAAACACATATAACATTTAGCGACTACTTCGTTTTGTACGAATACAGTGGGACTTAAAAGGCTAATACTATGTTATATTTATTTATTCGAGAAGATTTTATATAGTTGAATTCTTGCGAAAATTTTCTTCATATTTTTCTCGGGAATATTTTGTTGTTTTTTTTTTTTTTTTTTTTCATTAACTTTTCTCTATATCTCCTATTAGAAGATTTTAATCGGCTTATTTTCGTCGTATTTCATTCTCATTCTAATTAGGCTCGAATCGTTACTCGCGCGATTACTCGACGGTTCATACTGAAATAAAAATAATTGGCCGTCGTTAGAAGACGAATAATCGCGGAATAGGAGCTCATCATTGTTCTTTTCACATTTTTAGAAAGCGGTTGGAAAGTGAGAAACATACTTTCTAACGAAACTCTATCGAGGAATATCGTTACAGACGTAAAGGCGCCTGTTAACTTGCCTGCCTAAGCATCCTTGCTGCACGTGAACGCATTTTCGGGATAATACACACAGATAAATTATTATCGACTCTCTCGCGTACTTTTCTTATCCTAAACTCTCGTTTATCTATTTTTTCTTTTATTATTTCTCGGTCTGATTATAAAAAAAAAAAAAAGAATTCAAATGAAGTATTTGGAATATTATTTCGTTTTTTTTTTCAATTTATTCTTAAGTATTATTCTAAACGTATTTCACACATCAATATCATATCCTTCAAATTTATTCGAATTAATATTAAAAAGATGGAAGAACAAAATGAATATTCAAATACTGATGATATCAATAATACGATAAATACAATTATCTATGTATCGTATACAGAAAAAAAAAAAAAAATAGATTCTCTAATAGTTTTAAAGAGTGAAATAATTAAAACAACGAATATAATTATTCTTTAATACATATTTCTTTCGCGTACAAAAATTCGTAATACGATTTTAATTATAGACATAATAGTTACAATAATTGACGAGTTGTGTGTATGTGTGTGTGCGTATCCCTGCATTAGATTAAATAAAATATCGAAAAGATTTATCGTAATATATCATTCTCAAAAAGCACACATATATATATATATTAATTTATCGATGATTTATTGACGAGATATTACGAACAATTACTGTTCTTATTTTTTCTTAAACACTTGGCATGATGCCGTTATCATCACTTTCCCCGAATGCATTTCACGCGTGTCGAACGAGAGATGATGTTCATTTTCCCCACCTCTCTCTCTCTCTCTCTCTTTCTATTTCATTAATTTCATTCTTTCATTTTCAAACGTTCGCGTGTCTTAAATAAAAACATATAAACGAATTCATTTCTCACGTACTACTTTACTTATACTCGTATATATTATATATATATTCTTACAACCGCATTCCAACGTATGACGTTATATTATATCCTCCTCGAGTATGGAAGAAAACGATAGGATGACGTAGAAAAACGAAAAGAAGAAGAAGAAGAAAGGAGAAAAAAGGTGGCGTGGCAGAATGGGGGGGGGTGGGGAAAGAACGGGTAGGAGCTACATAAATATTGGAAAAATTCTTACGAAAATAACGTTTATAGACATAAGTGTACAAGTGCATCGTCCCCCTCTCCCTAACCCCTCATTCTATCACCCTTCTTCCCCCTATTCCCTTTTTTTTCTTTTTTTTTTTTACGTTGCACCGTTGGACCCAGCTGTCCGTTGCTGTTGCTGCTGCTGCACTTGTCGTTACCCTCGTTCCCTTGACCCTCCCCAAACACATAAATTCTCCTACTCCCTTTTAGTTCCCCCCCCTCCTCCTCTTCCTCCTCCTTTTCTCTCTTCAACTCTCTTCCCTCTTCTTTCGTGTTAGGGGCCCACGGAAATAGATCCGAGACCCCGGCACAGTGCACATTATCGTTTTGTCTCTCTCTCTCTCTCTCTCTCTCTTTCTCTTTCTTTCTGTTGCTGTCTTTGTTCTTTGTATCCTTATACCTCATTCTGATTCTGTATTGGATTTTGTATTTGAGTACTTTCCGTTGTTCGTTTCTATCGATAATGTATTAGTCCTAAAAAATAAAACACAGGTGAAACGATGAATCAGGATGTTTTTTTTAAATTGTATTTATTAAAATTCTTTTAGCTATATCGCTTGAAAAGTTAATTTTTTTTGCTTATTTTCGTATTGATTTGTTTCGTTTTGAAAAAAATTATCTTTTTATTCTTTTTGTTTCTTAAATTATCATAGCGATGATTATGTAAAATGACAGATCGATAGGATCCTAGGAATAATTCGTAAGGTATTTCATGGAAAAACGTAATTCCTTTTCATAAATACGTATAATTATCGGGCACACACACACACACATAACGTATATCTACATATAACGTACATAACGCCATATTTCTTTCCTTCTTATTCGTAGAATAATATCTTCTTCGTGTTTCCACGCAAACGCAAACGTGTTTTTCTTCATTATCGTCCGAGCACCGATGGGAACTATTTTTTACGACAAAAATCCATTTATTTTGTGGAAAAGAGAAACAAAAACAACAAGAAATTTATCTTTAGAGAAATATAAATAAATGTATATAGACATGGTGGTGGTGGTGGTGGTGGTGATAATGGTGGTGGTGTGTGCAAGTAGTCACGTGGGTTATTTGGCGGAATAGTTTTAACAAAACGCCCGAAGAAAAAGGAATAAAGTTCTTACGTGGAATCACACACGTAAACGGCAATCAGTCAGTCAGCTTAAGTTTGCTGCCAAAGGGAATCCTATGTGGTTGTATTTGTTAAGTTAGTTGTTGTGTGTTGTTGTTGTTGTTTGTTGGGTAATCGGCTTCCTCGTATTGCTACATATATACTTCTATATATTTATGTGTATGTGTGTTGTATGTGTTGTTAGAAGCCTTTAGAACGCTCCTTGTCTTTTTCTATACATCTATCTTTCTTTCTCTTTATCTCAACCGTTTGAAAGTGAATTCAAGATGGCTACTTACTTTAAAAGCTGCTACAGTCTTATGTAGTAATGAAAGATAGAAAAAGATAGAGAATATTCTACATGTGATATGCGTGACTATACACACATAATGTATACGTTATATGTAAATTCATGTGTATAGTGTATGTGTGAATATATATATATATATATATGTGTATGTATGCATATGTTATGTGTGTGTTTCTATACGTTTAAATACATCCATGTTAAATGTACGTATGGATATATTGTTGATTGCGTGTGAGTACAATATATATATATATATATATATTGTTACTTATATATATATAAGTAATACTTAGGCTAGTGAACAGCAAGCGATAGTGCTGATACGTACGGAGAGTGTTGACATTTTCTACAATCGGGTCAGGGCCCCCTGTTGAACGTAGAGGCATTACCTACAACCCTCCCTAAGGCGAATGCTTGACGCACGCGGATGTAAACACCGTTTCCGTTCGATTACATTGCCAGAAAGAAATTTATCTATTTATCTATATATCTATTTTTTTCTATTTCTTTTTTTCTTTCGTTTTTATTTTTTTCCCCTTCTATTTATATATATATATATGTAGGTATATCTCTCTCTTGTATATATATTGTATTTTTAATTTTATACTTATCATATTTTTTAATTACATTTTCATCGTGTGTTTCTAGCGTAAATATTTGAACAGTTGATAATAAAAGTCAAACTTTTTTTTTTTGTATTTTTTCTCCATTGAATTTGTATAGAATTTCTTAATGTGTTTTTTTTTTATTTTTATTTTTTTATTTTCGTGTTGCTTAATATTTAATTTATTCTTACTTTTTTTTGTTCTCTTTTCTCGCGTTATTTATTTAATTCGTATGTGTTTGATTTTCTTATGAAATTATTCCTAAGATCGTAGATATATTTTTTTTCTCTATATTATATTATTATCACTCGTTATTTCTATTTTATTTGTGAAAGAACTAGAGAATGTGTGAGAAATTGAGAAATGTTCGTAAGTTTGTTAGCATTTAAATTCGTTGAATTAATTATAATTTTATTTCGCTTTTTCTTTCTTATTTCGATTGTAAACTAACTTATGTTAAAATACGAATTGATTGACTAAACGAAAGTCCGTCCCATTGGTTGATCGAGTTTGGTGGAATGTTTTGAAACCTTTACAGATAGTTATGAAATAAATACACGTTGAGATTTCATTTAATAGTTTGACTCGCGATGACGTTTAGTTTCAAAGTAATCAATTATTTCTTTCTTTCTTTCTTTCCTTTTTTTTTTTCTTTTTGA